ATTATTATTTCAATGCTTTCTCATGCTGATTCATTCATTTATCAATCTTTCTCATTTTAACCTGAATCTACAATATTTTATCAAACTAAATCAATATTATTCGTGAGTTTAATAAATATACCTAAGTTAAAAATTATATTTTCACGCAATTCTTCTATGGGGGACCTTCTTACAGCAATCCATTTAGACTTATTGGAATTACAACAACTATTATAAAAATTATCAATATTATTATTGCTAAAATTAGTTGTAAGAGAAAATTTCATAAAAATTATCAATTAATATCGTTTGACTCAATTATAAATTAAGTCTTTAACTTTACAGATTCTTTTTTAGCTAAGATTTGCAAGAGCAAGCAGGGTAATCCATAAAAGTTCTTTTCCTAATTTGAGAATTTAATACCTTACCTTTTTGTAAATTTTCTTTATTTCCATGTATCTAAATGGAATAAAAAATAAGGAGAATAACTTATTTTAAATTTCACTTTCAGTAAAGGTAAATTTTTTTAATTTTTTTACATAGTTGTTTCATTGAATAAATTTTTCTTTGGGATTATTTTTAATTTAATTACTTATGTTCCTTTAGCAATCGATATAATAAAAGTTTATTAATTAGGATGATAAATATATTATTTTTTGATGAGGATACCTCAACAAATGATAAATTAAGGGATTCTTTATTATCTATAAAATTGTTTTACTCTTTCTCTTTAAGTTATTGCTATGATAATAATTATTATTATTTAATTAACAAATATTATTATTTTCATTATTATTATAAAGCAATACAGTATTATTATTTTTTTTTATATGAAATTTATAATAATATTAAACTTAAGAATCTGCAATTTTGATAAATTATTCACCTTTTTGCATTTTGTCAATACAATCCTTTAAATTTTTTAATCCTTTTGATTCTCATGTTCAAATAATTGAAAGTTTTTTATGTATTTTTTTTAGATTTTAGCAAATCATCTAAATTGTCCCATAATTTTCTCTTTAAATAAAATTTTATATTAATTGAAGTTTTGTACTTAGAGCTCTTTATGATGTGGATTAATTGTTTTTTATTAAAGGATTTTTAGGGATATCATTAATTCAAAGTGGCAATATTGATTTGAATATTATGATTAATTCCTATGGGGATAATGATGAGTATCTTTATTTTTTAGAATTAATAGTAACATGCAAGCTACTGTAAACAAAGAATATGCAATTAGATTAATTTGAGCAAATATAACGTATAAGAATGATTAAGTTTTTCTAATTGAATTGAGAATGATAATGATAATGATAATGATAATGAATGATAATTTGAATTAATATACAATTAAATATATATAAAATCACTTCTTTTATAAGTATTCAATCCATTTTTATCTAATATTTTGAGTATAAATGGAAGGTAGATTGCGACAAAGTGCTTATTATAAAGTATCTGCTTCATTTAATTTATCAGCTTCTTGTAATGCTTTTTGTAGTACAAAAGTGCCAAATTTATTTTTCATTAATTCTAGACAGATGATGTCTTAGGATAGTTATTTAATGAATCTTTTTTGAGTTTTAGGAGAGGTTTCTAGAATACATTTTTCAACAACATTAGATGAATATTTATGAATAGAAAGTTGTATTAATTTGAGTAGTATTTTATCAATGATGGAGGTACATCTATAATCTCCATAGATCTATAGTGTTATATTAATATATACATCAATAGCATGTTATACTCCATAATTTCCAAAGGGATCTTAAACAATTTCTTCTAAATGTTCTTTAATTTTATTAATAATGATATTAGATTTATCGGGATTGTTTTTAAATTTAGTAATTAAATCTTTAAGAACACATAATCCAAATTGATGATTAACAATTAAGATGAATCTATCCATTAATTTATGAAAGATATGATGAAGTCTATCTTCAGAGAAACGTGTGATAATTTTCTTAATAAGATGAGTTCCTTGATTATCTAATGTAAGAGTGATGATATTATTTTTAATATTATTTTCGACCATTTCTTCTTCTTATTTGGAAGAGATAAGTGAAACAAGAGACTAAATAGAATGTGTTCCTTTTTTATCACAAGCAATATCAACAAGTCGATTTCCAATCTAGGTAATTAGATATATGTACAGTTTATAAGATGTATAATCTTTAATGAGGAGCACAACTCTGACTTAGACTAGCAAACATATAATTAGCATATGGATCTATCATTAAATCTGGTAGATGTGGTGCAATTTCTTATAAGATTTAATCTAATTCAATTTATGTACATATAGTAAAGTACTTTTATATTAATCTACTACCATGTTAAGTTTTGACAAAGTTAACAATGTTTCCTCTAATTTATTCTAAATTTTATAGGTCTTCAGTCCATTCATCCACAGGATTTTAAATAGTTTAATTTGATTCTTCTAATTGAAAGCTTTGTAAACGAACTCTAGTTTGTAGTGGTGTTACTTAAGGAGTGAAATTATGCAATTTAGGTGAGAATAGGAATGAATCAATGATAGGGGAAGACTTGGGTGATTATTTATATAAAGTAGTATTAAATTCAGTTGGTAATGTAATTTGAAGTGATTTAATGGATAATTGTATAGGTTCTTATTGTAATTACATGGAGATACATACTCCATCAGATTCAAAGGAAATGTAATCGTCAATAGTTGCTTATTCTGCATTGTAATAGAATTCAAAGGTACGTAGACTTTTACCTTCCTACATGAGATTAGCATCTATAATGTACAATTAAATTAGTATGCGTCCTTAGAGGAATGGAATGATATACTTTGAACGTTTACCATAGTATTCTCTGAGATTAGCATAATCAATTAGGATGGAAGTGGTTTTTTTTTATTTGAGTGTAGTTGAATGTGTTAGATGAAGGAATGGTTTTTAGGCAATTGTATGAAATACTTAGAACTCTACGAATGTTTTGATATTGAGATCCAGTAGGTCATAGTCAATAGGAACACGCTAAATAAATTTAGCCGATTGGATGTGTTCATTTAGGAGGGCCAAAGATGTGGGTTTTTATTTACATATCAATGCACATTAGGTATGAACGTCAAAGTAGAGTGATAGATGATTTGAGTATATTTGAGTGTTACCCAGTTACACATTCTAATAACACATTGGACATATTGAATTCTCATTCTAACTCTTTCCTATTATTTCATAATCTTCATCAACAACTACTTGTTTATTACTATCATATACTTAATGATTCTTCTAATGTACTACTACACTTTCTTGAATTACAATCTTGTCCTATTTCTGAGTCTTTCTTTATACACTTTTAAAATATTTCTTTAAACTCTCTAGGAACAGGCTCGTTCCAACCAAATAATGGATAAATGTCTTCTATCATTATACAAGGCGCTCTCTCAAGTTTTTTAAAATAATAAAATTGCTTATGTAAAAAGATTCTAAATTTATTAAGTGGGGGTTCTATATCATTTAACTAATCTTTTAGTGGGGAGCATATATCTCCACACTAAACCAATTAATTCATTCTTTTTTTTATCAACCAAAAACATAAGCGCACTTCATTCTACTATGCACATTTATTTTAATGAAAAATTGCACTCTCCTTAAACAATTAGAACTCAATACAAATACATACATTTTGGAACTCATTTATAAGATCTCATCCAAACATCATCTCTCTGATTTATAGACTTAATAAATTTCATTGTATTACAAACAACCACCTTCCATTAACACCTTTCTAGAATTATATTCACTTAGCATGTTACGTTGTGATTGTGTTAAATATTAATAAATTGTAGATGAAATCAATCATCTAATTCATTCCTACTTTTAAACTTAAACTCCCTTAATCTAAAACATCATTACATAAGAAAAGAAAAAACCAATTAATCAGGATAATTAGAATACTCAGAATAATAAGGATAATAAGGATGATCAGGATAATTAGAATAATAAGGATAATTGGTATAATAAGGATAATTAGAATAATAAGAATAATAAGGATAATCAGCCTGAGCCTATGCAAATTGAAGATGACGATGAATTTATTAGCAATAACAATAATAATAATAATAATAATAATAATAATAATAATAATAATAATAATAATAATAATAATAATATTCCTATATCAGATACATAATAAGATGATGCTTAATAACCCTCTCAATAAACAAATATTCCTTCCTCATAATAACCAATTAATACATAATAAACTACTTAACCATCCTAAACTATTGAAGATGAAATTTGCATTCCCAATTCAATTAAACTTAAATATAGAAGAATATCTACTGGACCATCTGAAAAGGAAGCTAGATGTGATCAATGTGTATGTTAAGGTAAACTTTCAACAGAATAAGATAACTTAGTTTAATGTTTATTGTGTTTAAATTACTTACATTTTACATGTGTTTCTAAATCTAAAGAATCTTTTGATAAATGTTATAAAGATTTAGAATTTGTATGTCCACCTTGTGTACTTAAATATATGGATCATTTTAATAAAATATCTGCAACTTTAGTTCCACCTTCTCCATTTTAATAAGCTGGATAAATTAATCATAAAGCATTTAATTTTACATGTGATCAACCCATTATCAATATTAGATGTGTAAGATAAGAAAATAAAATTAATTGTGAAGAAATAACTTGGCCTGATATTGGTGAATTATTTCTAAATTAAAAGAAAATCTAAGATTTCAAACCATTAATTAATAATCATAGTCTTAAGAAAAGAAAAGATGATTAAATTCTTACAACTGAAGTACTTACATAAAATTGTCTATAAATTAAAGAGTGTATACCTACTCCAGATTAAAGGAGTTAATATCGAATCTCATAAGGACATCTATATTTTTTAGGAGTCTATTCAATAGAGTAATTTAATTCAAAACAATTACTTGATAACATTATAAATTAAAGTGAAAATTGGATGAATATTGAACAATGTTAAGATTTCATATCTCTTTATTTAAATAAACATTAAGCAGATGATATAAAAGTAGATAGTATAACAATTTAATTAACATGTGCAATCACTTTTAATTTGATGAATACACCTGTAAGAGGGTCTTTCTGTTAACATATTTAATGTTTTGGATTAGAAAATTATATAACAGCAATGTATTAAATGTAACCTAGAAAATGGAGATGTCCCTTATGTAAAAAGAAACTCTTCACTATTTAGATTGATGCATATCAAAATGCTATCTTAAATACAATAAAAAAATACGATTTGTAAATTAATGAAATCAGTTTTGATAACAATGGGTAAATTGTTAATGAAAAGATTCAAAAATTACTTAGTTTAGATAATCTACCAAATTATGCAATAAAAAACAGTAATCGTATGATAAATTTGGAGATGTTATCTAATGATAGTAATAATATCTTCTTTAAATTACAGATTGTCAAAACAAAGGAATCTAATTAAAAATCACCATATTAAAATACCTTATAGAATGTGATTAATAATATGATGTTGTCATCAAATTAACATCTAAGGAGTAACAGTTATGCAAATTTTTATGCTAATAATTATTACATAAATTAAATGAAATTACAATAATAGGCTAGATTAGAAGAATAGTGTAAACTCTAAAAATCAAAATTTGGATAAAATAATGACTCAGCCATTATTATAGAATGAGTATATATATATTTTTTATTTAATCATGTCTACTCAATCTTCTAAGAATGTGATAGCTGCTGCATAACTCACTGAAGAATCTTTCTTATCTCTTACTAGACATGATTATGCATATCTAATAAACTTAGTTTCCATCATATGTGTATTTTAACTCATTGCTATACACTATATATATAAATGAAATATATATGTACATGTAATAAAATAGCTATGCAATGTTTACCACATATATTATTTTCATATTCTCTCAAATAATCATTAAATTTATCTAAATCATGTAATTCAATATGTTCCATAGCTTTTTAATCTAATTTTTCTATTGATTCAAATATTTCTCCATCTGCACTGTTGTAATAAGTGTAGGCGAATTTAGTTCCCCAATGACAAAAATCAGTAGATATTATAAATAAAGTATCATCCATATCAAAATATTCGCTCAATAATCTTCCATAATATTCTTCAGATTTAGCATCAATAGATCCAACCATAATTGGGATTATTGTAAAATTATCAGTACCTAAAATATGAGCTAAAAAAGGTAATTGCATTTCAATTGAATGTTCTTCTTCTTCTGCATCTTTGTCTGATTATTCAAACAAACCTTGCTCATGTAATTACTTTACAGCTAAACTTACCCAAAACAATTACTTTCCAAATCCACTTTAATATTTCCCAAAGGAGTTTCATAAATTTCTTATCTCGTCAAACAACATTATGTAATATATACATAATGACATGGACCAAGAATAAACACTTTTAATTTCTCAGATGGAGGATATTTCTTTAAATATTTGTAACTGAAGGCTGCTGTTGGTCCAGAATAAGCATAACCTGCATGACTTATTTTATGATTAAATCAATACGGAACAATTAATGCTTTTAATTATGCTACTGTTGTCACTTCTGCTTTAGCTTATTCTAACCAACAATTAATCTGAATCTTTAATTCATTACTCTTACTAGAATACCATGATCCAGCATGAACATTCTCTCTTACATTGTATTTATTATTTAACATATGAACATATGGAATCTATTATAATTATTCTTCGTTCTTATTCTCCTATTACTCCATCTAATTATTCACTTCCTTTTACTCTAATTACTATGATTCCTCTTCTGATTATTCAGACATTTTATATATATATTATTTATTAATTATGTCTAAAAAATTAGAATTACAAACCAAAATCAAATCTCTTGAAGAATATATTCAAACCAGCCATAGATAAATTATATCCCCCACTGATAACACTTGCAGAATTCTAAAGATCTATTTCAAATAATACTTTAGTTTTAAATTTAATCCTTATTTCAATTGTTGAACTTGAAGAAAAAGCCAGAATGCTTGAATCTTAAAACTTATTGAAAAGAATCAAAGTAATGTTGTCGAATGGTGATCCAAAGAAAGAGATTTCAATGTACATCTAAGTCATAATAAAGTATTAAATAAATCCAAATACTACAACTTTAATTGAATGAAGTTGAAGCTCAACTCAATGAATTTAAGGATCAAAATTAATAACTTATTGCTAATTCTACATAAAATAATAATTCTGAATCGTAGTTATAATAATTGATAAAACATGATGAGCATCTTATATAATAAAAAGATTCCTATCTCAAAAAAAAAGAAACTTAAATTTCCAATCATGAATAAATCATTATACAAAAGACAATGAAAACAAAGATTAATAAATTACATTATTGAGTGAATAACTATATAATTAATCATAATAATTAAATCTGTTAACTCAAAACAACCTCAATTTAAATACTATTACTGATAAACTGAATAATTTAAAGCATCTCAAAAATAATTTACTCAATGATAACTAAACACTTTATTCCTAACTCTAATCATTATATTCTACTAATAATGATATGTTCAATATCAAGCTATCAGAAAAACTTAACAATACTCAATCATATCAAATTCTACAACTATAAAATGAATTGAAATATTCTTAAAAAAACAATATAAAGAAAAAATGACAAAAATTTTGAAAAGACAAAAGAAAAAGTATTTCTCTATTTAAATATTTATTTAGTCTATTAACTAATAAGATCTAATAAGATCTCTTTAAGACAAGATTACTTGAAAAAGATGATATACTCTATGAAGCCAAAAATTAATTTGAAAAATATTTACTCATTGTATTTAAAATAAATGGAAAATGCTAATCTTAATATAATTATTAATATTTTTCTATACACAAATTGCTTAAGCAAATGAGATTCTCAAAGATCAAATCAAAAAAATCTCTGATCTTGAACTCAAAATCAAAGAATTGGAATCCAAATTGTCAGAAACCAATAAATAATATATCGAATCACTAGAACATTCTAAATAATTAGATCTTGAAGTAAAATTTACTTATTTATTTAGCTTAAAAAATCTATTTAAACGAATTCAAAACTATAGGAACAATTCATATTCAAAGATGAAGAATTACAAAATTCTAAATAACTTTAATAAGGAATACTTCAAGACAATTCTCATTTAAAAAGTAAATTAGAGTCTCTATTACAAATTAATTCAAAAACTAAAACTAATAAAGGATTAAGAAATTGAATTAATTAAAGAATAATAAAAATCTTTAGCAACTCAATTAAAAACTAGTTAAGGCTATGCTACCAGATTTAAATAAATAACTAGAAATGGATAATACTGAATTCCTAAAATCTAAAAATAATTTAGAAACACTTTTCTAAGAAATTCTTGATCAAACTAAATAAAAATCTAATGTTAAGAATTTATCTACAGCTTCAAATAATCCTATCAAAAGTTTACTTACCTAAAGAAAGAATTATATACAAGGAAATACTTCAACTAATTCTTAAGAAAATAGATCATCAAGTTAAAAATCAAATAATACTACTCCTAATTAAGTTGCTAAAATTGGAGATGTATCCTTCAAAAGAACTATACTTGTAAGTGGAAAAAAGAAAACTTCTCATTCTGGCTCTTAAGAAAATATTAATTCAAAATAATCTAATAAAACCTTAATGAAATTTATGATTTATATAAAAGTTAACAATAAAATAAAATTTTATAAATAGGATTAATTATTAGTACAAGAATAATAGTAAGATATATAATAAAATCAAATAAATAAGTTAGAAAAATTAATATCAATTAAGATCATTATCATTGCCAATGATATCTGCTACTTCTTCATTGTTTTCTTGGTCATCAAATATTTTTTATTAATTTTTATTTAAGGGTATTATGGCAATTACTATTTATTTTTTAGAATCATTTATTGCTGTTTTTTTTTCTTACAGTTTTTCTTAACTTTTGAATTCTTATTTTTATTTTATGTTTCAATATAATTTATAAATTTTTAGTTATTGTTACGTGTAATACATTTTCATCTATTTGATCTTGAGACTCAAATGACAAAACATAAACTAAATATTATATATTTTCATATTTTTTCCCATTGATTCTGCTAAAGTTTAGTATTTTTTTTTAATAAATTCTCAATATTCATATTTAAAAATTTATGTTTAATCTTGAATGAAAATAATATTAATTTTTTGTTAAATTGAATTAATGGAATTAATCAAATCAATAAATAAAATCCAATTGACAATGATTTTCATTTAATTTCAAATGAAAAATTCTGCTTGTTAAATGTCAATTTTATATTTAAAAATATTTATTTTTCTTTATCTTTTAGATATCTTTTTTTTTATTTCTTTGTCTTCACTTTTTAATTTCTAAATTTCTATTTCGTTGACTTCACTTTTTAATTTCTAAAATTAATTAATAACATTTTTTTTTAAATCGTCATCTATTTTTTTATTTGTAAAAAGACAAGTAGGATTATCAATGACTTGTTAGATACATTTATCTAATTCAGATTTTGCTCCACCATTCACAAGGTTTTTAATAGTTTATTTACTAAAATTGATTTATTGTTTCTAAAAATATCTTTAAAATTTCGATTCTGTTATGAGCTTTAATAATTCTAAAATTTCTAACTATTTATTTTGATAATTATTTTCAACTTATTTATTTTGATCATTGTTTTCATCTATATTTTGATCCCATTAAATGATTGAGTAGATAGATTCATAATTCAAATTTTATTAATGCATTTCATATATTTGATTTTCATTTTAATTTTCATTTTCTTTGAATTTTTATATTAATATTTATATTAGTTAAAGAAAATCATATTAGATATCATTTTATTTAAACTTATTAATCACTTTTCTTAATTTTTCTTAAATCTATTATTGGTTAAAATCTAAGTGATTTATCCAATTAAATTTACAATTAGTGTATTCGGCTAATAGAATTACATATGATTTTGAAGTATCGTTCATTTTTAATAATTATGTACATACCAAATTAAATTTATTAGTCTAAAAGTATTCAAAGTTATATTTTGTTCTTAAAAAATTTTTCTTTTTAAATTTATCCAAATTTTTTACTTAGTTCTTTTATTAAATTTATTTAATTATCAATAATTTCTATTTTTATCTAGCTTTGTTACATTCTTTGAGAATCAATTCTTTTTTAATTGAGAGATCTTCAACACTATTTATATTATCTATTGTATTCAGAATTTCCAAACTTGTATCTTATTTTAACCATTTTTTATTTCTTATTTTTTTTTTGTTCATTTGTGCAAGTTCTTCCAATTAAACTTGGGTTATATCTATTGCTTATTAATTTAATTCTTCAATTTCTAAATTATCTTCCTAATTATTTTCTATAACATTTGCATAAAGTTCAGCATCATTTAAATGATCTTAAGAATAAAACTCTGAATTATTCATTTAAAAAATTATAGAGGAAAAATAAATAAAAATACGTATTGAAAAATATTAAAAGTTTTGGACAAGAAAATTAACATTAATTTATATTGTATAAAAAAATATTTAATAATATATATATATATATAAAATAATATAAATATATAATAATATATTGGATAATTCATTTAGAAACAACTACTGATAAAGCCATTTCTTTTTCTTCTAACAATTCTTTAAGAGTTTTATCGATCATTGATTATTAGAATTGATCCCATTTAAATCCTTCAAGTACTTTGATGTTTCCATCCTTAGAAACACATGGGAATGAGAAACAAACTTATTCTTTGATTCCATATAATTTTCCATCAGTAATAACTCCCATGGAGACAAAGGTTCTAAATAATAAATATGAGTAGATTACCCATTATCAGTTCCAATAAGCCAATCATGAATATGATCACAAACAGCAGATGCAGCACTTGCAGCAGATGATGCTTTTCTTTTTTCAATAATAGCTCCTCCTCTTTTTGCAACTTATTCAACAAATGCTTTTTAAAGCCATGTATCATCAGCAATAAGTCCTCGTACACTATTAATATATAAAATATTATATATACGTATATGATATTCCATTTTATTAAACAGTAGCTTAACTAACATCAGCAAATTGAGTAGTGCTATGGTTTCCCCAAATGATAATATTTCTAACATCTTCAACATTAACATTAACTTTTTAAGCAATAATAGATTAAGCTCTATTTTAATCTAGACGAGTAAGCGCAGTAAAATTGGTTTTAGGTATGCTAGGTGCAAAATGAGCTGTAATTAAAGCATTAGTATTAGCTGGATTTCCTACTACTAAAACCTTAACATTTCTACTAGCATATTTTTCTAATGCCTCTCCTTATTCTTTAAAAATACGAGCATTAGCAGCAAGTAAATCTTTTCTTTCCATACCTGGTCCTCTAGGTTTAGCACCAACTAAAATAGCAATATCACATCCCATAAATCCTTAATCATATTATGTTGTTCCTTTAATTTCTTTTAAAATTGGAAAAGCACAATCTCTAAGTTCCATCATTGTACCTTCTAATTAATCTTTAGCCATTGGTAATTCTAAAAGTGTTAAAATTATTTATTAATTTGGTCCAAGAAGTCTACCTTATCCTATCATATGAACAAGTGCATATCCAATATTTCCAGCAGCACCTGTTACAGTAACACGAACAGCAGGAGTATTAATATTTGATGCCTTAAAATGTCTTGATAAATGTTAAAGACGTCTTGTTGTAGCTGATGAGTCCATATTAGATATTAATATTAAATAATACGTATGATAATCAATTCAATTAAATATTATTCTTTTATCCAATCTATAATTGTCTCATCCTAAAATATTCCATTAATCTTTAAGTATTAATAATCATTCAATATCAAATCAATACATTATAATTCCCATCTCTCTATTCCCATTTTAACTTTCCTTAAATTAGTTATTGCAACCCACTTAACCAATCTCATTATTTTATTAAACTCTACATATTCATAATCCCATCATTAATCTTCTTTTTCAACACCTATTATACTCATTTTATTTATTACAATACTAAATCTCTTTTTCATTATCTATTCTTTTCTTCCTGTTTAATTTTCATATATCAACATATAATTTTATATTTTTCTTCTCTCCCATAATAATTTTAATAATATTATATCTCAATACACATTCTTCTTTTTTTGTAATTTTTTATGAACTTTTATTTCATCATAATCTTGTTTGCAATCCATTTACCTATACTCATAATCTTTCTCTTTTATACTCTAATTTAATATAATATCTAACATCTATTTATAAAACATAATCAGGATTGATATTTATTCTTATCTATAGATAATTACTATACTATTTCTTCTTAATTATTTTCTTATGATATATTATTTCAAAATTACCATTTTCATCTTCATTTTTAAAATTACTTTACCACAACAATTTATGTATATACTTATGTAAATAATTTATATAAAACTCTTATTGAATTCACTGTTCATGCTAAAATAATTAAAAAGATGCTGTTTTAGATCTAAGTCATTACCCAGAGCCATACCTTTGTTAATTCATAAATTTATAAACTCTCGGGGAGGTCGCTATGTTAGAAGAAATGCTATCAAAACTCATATATCTGGACCTTTGGAAACACCAACTACTATTTCTCGTCGAAAATCTTGTGAAGGAGATGAGTTTGGATACTTTAAATCTACTAAAGAATGGATGCAGTTAGTTAAAATAGATAATCCTTAACATAGGAATTAGAACTTAGCCAGAATTGTTTTTTTAAGACTAAAACATGGAAATTCACAAAGTCAATCTAAGCGCATTCTTTCTTTAAAAAAGTGTAAAAATTATATAATATCAAATTAGGCTTCAAAGACTAAGTAAATTTGCTGCGTATTTTATCAACATTTAAACCAAAAGTAACAATTTAATAGGTTGATCTTGGGAATCAACCAAAAAAAGTTAATATGCCTCTTCTACCATCTCCTAAAGCTAAAGTTCATACAAAATTGTTTCCTTTCAATAAATCAATTACAATTGATTAACCTCTTTTTCCAAAAAAGATTCATAGAAATTGGAGTTAATTAGATATAATAGCCCCTTAGAAAGCAATAACATAGCCAGCATCAAATTATGTAAGTCCTAGGAAATTCAAAAAATCTATAATGAATATATATGGTATTTCAAATACTATGCAGTTTATAAAGTACTGATTTAATTTAAATTAAAATCTAAATGTCAAATTGATTTATAAATCATAAATATCATAACACAATAGCCTAGAAACAAACCAAAATCACGTGCTAGATGGCTATCACAATACTTTCCCTTCAATTTTAATAGATCAATAGTTTCATTTGTTTTTTGATTAGTTTTGTTTTCTGGTTTAGTTTGATTGTTATGGAAGAGATAATTAAATTGTTCAAATTATTTTTAAGTTATTGGTAGTGGAGTATCTAAAACATACCATTATACTAATTATTGGCAATCCAATAGATGAGAATCAGATGTACCAATATAAGTATAGAATGATGGATCAGAAGAAATCTAGTATCCAAGGGAATTATGAAAATTGATGGTGAGAGTGGTAATGTTTTAGAATTTCAAAATTTTGAAATAGTAGTCATCAAAAAATGGTTGTGATTATTTTTTATCAATTTTAAAAAGGATGGATACTATAGCGATTTGAGAATCTGAAATAAATCCTTGATTTAATTAATGATGAATGAGCATTTCGAAATCATATTGAGTTCCATCTAATTAATGTTGAGAAGGTGATCTAAACTCAAAACTAGTAGCAGTATAGGCTTAAAAAAGATATTTTTAGAACAAATACCATTAAGATTGTTATGGATGTCAGAGGCAGAGAGGGTTGAAATTGGAGCAACAGTGTAGATTGTATGTTATTGTTTGACTATATCAATGGTTAATGGATAATCAATGAAGGATATATTGAACATCATAGTGTTGTCACATTATGATTATGTAGGTTTGAGGTTTCTGATTGTAAGGTTGGATTAATCAGCTTGATATTTGTATTTTTAAGTATACCTAAACATGTTGCTAAAGCTTCATTGATATAAAATAAAATGAAAATTGTGCTTAATATCATAAATATAATATTTAATTCATGTATTTTCAATGAACAAATTTATAGTATATAATAAGTATATTTCCAATTGTTAATATGCAAACCAAAGTCATCAATATACCTTTATTGTATTATTCTCTATTCTTAATCATGGTTGCATGTCTCTAAGTCATTTTAACTCCACTCTATATTTCTTTCGTCTATAAAACTTAAAAAGTAACAATATTTACATCTTCAATAGCTTTTAGCAGTTTCTCCTTCTAACTACGTAGATTATCTAAAATACTTATTTAAGTATCTTCTGCTTCAAGTAATCTTGAATCTAGTTGATGTAATTGTTTCACTTAAGAGTGCAAATCCGAATTCAATCCACTAATTTATGATGGTTAAGTTTTCTTAGTAATATTACTATGATGAGATTAAGGTTGTTTATCAATATCTTATTGTAAATCTCTTAACTTCTTTTGGCATTCTATGTAAAGTATCTTACTTTATCTAAACTTTTATGCAAACTCCTATTTATTCTATTCATTGAAGGAACTGTATTCTATTTCCATGAATTTGAACTTAAAATAAAGCAATTGAATATTTGAATTACTTATTGTTCAGCCTAAACATGTATAAGTTTCATTTTCTCCAATTTCAGTTATTTACTCTATGTCATTGAGTATTGTTGATATAATTAGTTGAATTCTTCGACTTTTTTATTGAAGTTAATTTCGTTCTACTGATATAAGTTTGAGGCCATTAATTTAATTAATCATATTTTATAGTATATCAAAAGTATATTCCCAAGTGTCATGACTCCTATTAATCCCAATTTTATCACTTTACTAAAAAGTTCTCTATTCTACATCAATCTCACATATCTTCCAGTCTCTTTAACATCAGAACGAATAATATTTGTCTTTATAATTCAACTTATGATATAATACATCTTCATGAGCAATCAATAATTTCTCTTTTTATTTCTTTAGATCCTCCATTATTCCATCCTATAATTCAACAGTATTTATTAATGTTTTATTGTAATTATCTAATTGATTAGTTTATTAATCTAATTAATTAGTATTATTTTCTATTCTCCTCCTACTATCCAAATTAAATGATGGTTAAGTCTATTCTTAAGATTTTTATTATTATTCAATTGAATTTAGTTTCTATTAACAATTTACATAACTCATTTAATGTTATTTCATTTTTGGTGTTAATTCTGCCTTTAATGTAGATTCACATGATTTGAATTCTATTTACATAAATTTTAACTTAGATCATAGATAACTATCAATACTTTCTATTCTGCTTATTGTAATTTTGTTTTCAATTTTTCTAATGTACCCACTTTAGATTAGGTTAGAGAATACTATTAATAAGCAGTATTAAATTCATCTATTAGTCTTAGATAGGCAATCTCATTTTATTAAAATATCACTTAGGACATTATAAATAATAACAAATAAATATTTTTCAAGAATTCTTTGAGATTCTTAATGTCTTTTATTTTTTCATACTCACTCTAATACGTGATTGTTTTTCTTAATTTAATTGATTAGTATCCTCATCTAAAAAGATAAATGAGCTCTATTCAAGAATTGAATTTACAAATCTTTCTACATCTGAATGAATGAAAAATTAATTTTTTAATTGCATAGCAAAAATATCATTGCTTAATTTAAAAATTCTTTATCTCAAAGTTAAAATATCTATAGTTTCTCTAGCAAACTTCAATTATAATTTTGCAGCCTTCAATTCTTATCTAAATTTCTTAATTTCCCTCTATTCTTTAATATGAGAACGATAACGATCTCTCATTAATAGATTAATAAAAACATTCTAAAAATATGCTTAATATCCTTTTTCATATAAAAATTTAACCCAAACAATGAATCTCTTATCCATTTTTTAAAGAGATTGATAAGAATTGATTTTCATTGTATATTAATCCCACTTTTAAATCATCTATGCTTTATATTCTCTGATATTCTTTATAAATTGATTCAAATTCACTTTGATTAATTATAATTTAGCACTTGTAATCATGGCTTTCTTTTTTATCATATATAAAGATGCTCTCCATTTTAATAATGGAATAACCAACACCAAAGAATTATGAATCAATCTCCTTTTTGCCTATCTACAATACATATTCATTGTCATTAATGTATCTCCAATTACTCTATGTTATATATCTCCTCTATCTCTTTATTGATTCTCTCTAAATAACTTAACTCTCTCCTATAAAATTATAAAATTCTCCTCATCCTTCATTATTTTCCTCCTCCTCCACTTCAACTTTATTTTAATTGAGTTTACAAGTTTAATATAATAAAGTATTTCAAACCATAAATCTTTTTATTCCTTTTGTTTCTTTAATCTTCTTAATTCCTATGTAATCAATTAGATCTCAGCATGTGACCACTTTTTTGCTATAAATTCAAAGTTTCTAACTTAATTTGTCTCCATAACACATTTCTTCTACATATTCCTTGTTTTTAACACTTATAAAAAACGATCTTATCTACTTACCTCCATCTCAAATTTATTTATCTTCTTAAATGCTAAAACTTTATTCTAATTCACTATAAATTAAGGTGTCTTTGTTAAATCATCATTCATTTAAATTCTTTCATGATTACTAGTCATTCGAATTAATTTACGATATGAATCTGTTTATCCAAAATGAAACATAAATTTCATTTCTGTCTATTTCCTTGCTACTACTGCTAAATGTAATTTATCTTCACCATTATGTCTAACTACCCAAGTTCTACTTCTTATTACTTAATCACAATTAAATTTTGTTGGATAAGGAGAATTAAATGAAATCATTATTTAAAATTCTCCATCACAATGCATTGTACAATTTAATGGAGATTTCTAACCTCTCATTCCTATATTACAATAATAAAACTCCATTGGAGCTACTTTATAAACTTTCCCAGATACTATTGTCCCTCCCAATTGACAATCATATTATACAATTGGCTCTGTTTCTATCTATTTCACTACTTAACGTACACTTTTTAACTCTTCAACACTCTCCAATATATTCCAAGTTCTTTAAAATCTCTCACTAGCCTCCTCCAATATTCTAGATTGATCTATCAGACCTGAACCACTTGTCTATGATCTATAATGAGATATTGATGGAGAACTTAAATGATTACTTGGTCTTATCTGAGATTTTTTCATTATTTATGATTATAATGATTATTAAAAACTTTAAAATCATTTTTTTATTATTATAAACTAATACATTCAATCTCTTATATTTAAGCTAATCTTGTTCCAAAAATCACATATACTTTTCACTCTTAACCTAAATTATCAACCATATATTAATCAAAAATCAACAAATTAATTTCATATTCATATAAAAATTTATATCTTTAAAAAAAAATAATCCCCTAATTTTTCTGCTTATTTGATATTTCAATCTCTATTAAAGAAAAAAATCATTCAATTATTAATTTTTTAACTCTAAAAATTCATAATCTTCATTTATAATAATTCATCCATTTGATTCCTTTTATTAACTGAAGAATCAATTTTTAATTTTTTTAAGCATCCTCTATTCAAAAATACTTTTGAAAATTTATAAATATGCTTTTTCTTATGCTACATACCTTTAATTAATAAAAAAAACAAACATAAAATGGATCACTTTCAACATTTTAAAAATCATTGAAAATTTTAGAATTAAAAGGACTTACAAAGAAAAATTATTAAATTCAAAATCTGAAGAAAATATAATAAGAATATGTTTCATAATTATAATTATTATTTTATCAATTTATTATAATTATAAAATTTTAATCTTAGTACATTAGAAAAGCAAGTTATTTTTTAATTCTTTTAGATCTCTAGATTTAATGGCCAAAATCTCTTTCAAAATGATATACTCTTTCAAAGGAATTTTAATAATGTGTCTTTTTATTAGATTTATTCACGAAAAACACAATCCTTTAAAAAAAAATGATCTTCAAATGATTGCAAATTCAAATTTAAGTTCTATTCAACTACTATTAATTTCTTTATTAATAATTTTTTAAATTTAGAAGAAAAATAAAATTCTTTACATAAAACCTTATCAAGATAAATGAATATAGATAATTAAAAACTTTTGATGATATGTTATAACTTAATTTATCCTTTATTATTGTTTTTTCTTGTTATTTAATTATGATTCTTTTTAACTCTAAAGTTCTGCTACAAAATTATTTTAAAAAATTTATTTATATATTTTAGAATCATGAATTAAGTCAGCCTTATAGCATTATTAATATATGATTCATTACTGAAAAAGAATATTGTTTAATAAGCGATAAAATAAAAATTCCTGTTTAAATAAGAATTACTTGTCAAAAATATAATTTAAAAATTTAAAACAATATAAATTATGTATAAATAGATAAAAAATACTAAATTTAAAATATTATGTTGTTAGTAAAATATAAATAAATTAATAGTATTTTTAGGATATTATTTTAGTTAAAATCTTAGGCTGGATTAATTGAATAATTATAAATGAAAAATATGAATGGAGAAAGTGTAATGATATATAATAAATATTATATGATTGAATAGTTAAAAGGGATAAAAATAAATTGATTGAGAAAGAAATGATTTTTTTTTGAAATGCACTTATTTATTGATGTGTAAATAATCTTTTTCAAGGTCCAGAGTTTTACCAATTGGTTCCAGTCATTTAGTTAGGTTTTTATTCTCCATTATGACCACCATTAAGCATATGAGTCAAGATTTCTTTAGTATACTTGAAGGATTAAAATAAAAATAATTACTTTAAGTCTTTTGGCCATTTCTGTATTTTAACTATCAAGTGCAGTAGCTAAAGGATAGTGACTTCTTTCTCCTGTTTTGTTAACATAAGTAACTATTTTGTGTTCAGAAGATAAGATAATTTCAGTTTTGTCTGTAAAATTAACCTAAAATATAGATATAAGTATTACTTAGACAATTTTATTAGATAATCTAAACATAATAGCATGTCTAGTTTTCATCCATTTTTTAACATAGACAACTGATTTATTGTCATATTCTTCGAATGGGATATCCTATCTATTTTATTCTCCTTCAAGATAACTTCTGAAATGTTAAAGTAAAGTAACTTTTTTTTAAAGTTCTCTAGGATATTCATTTAGATTATGAGATTCACAAATATCTTATCTATCAGTTCCCCTTCTTTCCATATATTCAAATTATAATGTTTTAGTATCTAAAATAATTTTAGTAGAATCATTAAAAAAGACTCCAGTGGCTCCATTACTTAATAGATATCCTAATCCATATTTACTGGAATAATCAACCCATTTTTTAACATATATTTCTTATTTTTATTAAGTTTATCTTTATTATCCAAGATTATTAACAGAATGAGTTCCTTACATTCCAGTACCACCAAAAGGTGTAGTAAGAGTCTTTTGACTTTAACTACTTCTAATATCATTTGGTTTTTAAGATTAAGGTCTTTAAGATCCTCCATAACCAGCATTCTAAGCATTATTTAATCCACTGGATCCAAAGTTATCTTCTAAGATATTTCCACTTGAACTAGGTTTTTACACTTAGATTATAAAAATAAATGAATACATGGAAAACGATCAGATGAACCATTTCCTGGTCTTTACTGGTTTTTCTAATTGTTTGGAGTAGTTTCAGTCAATCTTTAAGGCATTGCATTTACTGACATTTTTAGACTACTAGAATTAGTAGATGGTTAAAATTATTTATTATAAGATGCTGAAGGAGGACAAGCAAGAGTAGAAAGTGGCAATGTTTTGGGAATTGAACCTCCTGTATTCATAAAAGGATGAGACATTATTTCATCAAGAGTTGGTCTTTTAACAGGATCTAAATTTAATATTCTAGTTATAAGATTTTTAGCTGCATCTGATATAAGAACATGTTCAGGAAATGTATATGAATTCAATCTAATTTTTCTATATGTTGTTTTAACATCAGGAGTTTCAAAAGGAGGCTTTCCTATTAACATTGCATATATGATCACTCCTAATGACCATACATCCACTTCGAATGAATGACCCACTTTACCATCTAATACTTCGGGAGCTATATAATTTGGAGTCCCACAAATAGTTCTTTTCTTCTCTCCTTCAAATTCCAACTTTGTTGCTAATCCAAAATCACCTAATTTCAATTCCATTGATTTATTCAAGAACAAATTACCCAGTTTTAAACTTAATATTATATTTATTTGTATACTCTCTATGTATTACATTACTGGCATGCAAATATTTTAATGAATTAATTATCTATGCAACATAACATTAAACTTCTATCTCGGTAAGTCTTTTACGACGTTTTATTAACTCATTCAAAGTCTAATTTAAATGATTCATTATTACTTAATTAGAGCATAACTCTAGTAAAATGTAAACATTCTCATGATCCTCAAAAACATGCTCAAATTACACTATGTTTGTATTCTACAAACTTTTATGTATTTTTATTTCAGAAATAAGCTAAATTATTACATCACATTCTTACCTTTTAACGAGCTCTATTCTTAGTTAAACTACTTTTAGCAATTATCTTCGCAGCCAAAACTTTCTTTGTCTCTAAATTAGTTGCTTCATAACACTTTGCAAAACCACCCTTTCCTAGAAACTTACCTCTTTAATATCTTTTTATTGCCACTTCTCCGTTAACTTTTGTGATTTTTTCTTCAAAAATGACCACTTACTCAGAACTTAATTTATATACATATTTTACCCATCTACTGTGTTCTTCTCGTCCATAATTTTTAAACTATTTAAATTATTATCTGATTTTTTATATATAATGGATGAATATACCTATCTACCTACCCCGATACAATCATTTATATTAAGTGGTACTATAAATGTGATAAAAAAATAACCTTAATAAACCTATAATGTAAATATCAAAAGACAAATAATCAACCTTCTAAATATTAGTTTGAAAAGAAAATTCAGAATAATTAAAAAAAAAAAATGAACTTTAAATCTATAATTATTTTAAATGAATTAATATCAAGAAGCATTACTTAAAAATTCAAGTATTCTTACATTTTTAAATAAGTGAGGGGAGAAGAAATTACTGTTAATCTCTAAATATACAATTCAACTGCTCAATAGGATAGACAACAATTTTTTAAAGCATTATAAGATTTAGCAAATGAAAAAAAAACAAAAATCAATGAATAAACTCGTATTCTACAACTCAGATTACCAGGTACGACAACCATAGCTAATATTAAATCAGATTTGGAAAAATATTGCAATCAAAAAATAGTAATGAAATATTTACTATAAGCAAGATTTTGATGTGTGAATCAATGGTACCTAACCCATTAGATGTCATTGGAGATATCAAATGTACAACTTAAAAACAAGAGGTCCATTTGCAATTGTGTTCTTAAGTAATTGCAGGATGATAATCATCATTTATAATTCATAATATTTTATTTACAATTATTTTCAATTATTTCTATCTTGTATTCCATTTTGCTGATGGATGTACATCATCAATTTTACATCCAAAATCTAATTCTATATATTTTCATTCATCAAAGTCGTTAATTTTAATCCCTAAACTTGAAATGTTAAGGTCAATATCTTAGAAGTTTTCAACATTCACATTTATAGTGATTATTATCTTGTCTTTTTCATGAACAATTTAATACTTTTCTATTTCATCTCTAGAATTGATCTCTTCAATTAATACTTATTCTATGAGGTTTTTGGAGTCTAATTTTGATAATTTTGGGGATTTAAGATTAAATTATTCAAAGGTTCATCTTATTTAGTAAAACTGAGATTTTATTAAAGGTTTTCTTTTGGATTTTAAATTTATGGATCTCTTCTACCTTCTTTATCAGCTTAAGATTCTAAGTGCAATTTAACTTGTTTTTAGGATCCACAATATTTATATTACTTGTTAATGATTTTAAGAGAGGGAATTTCGAATTTATAAATGCTTTAAAGTAAATAAATTTGATAGGATTGTTATCTAATTCAAATCGTTTCTCTTGTGTATCAATAATAATTGATTAAAGTATTTGACGATTGATCTAATAAAATGAATAAATTATTCTTATACTTTTTGAAAACATCTGAATTAATAACAATATCATAATAATAAATTATATTATTAAAAGATGTTGACTTTCCTATTTAAACATAAGATAATGAATTATCTGTTGAATTATAGAAACAATATCATTTTTATCATATGCTCCAAATACTCTGTCATGATGCAATAGATTGAGATAAAACTTACATCTTTTATCAAATTTGTCAAATTGAAAATTTTCTTATTTGAGTTCATTTTATTTTAATAATAATTTGCTTTCTAATTCATTGATAGGTAATTTATGAAGATTGCCCCAAATTTTCATGGAATAAGCAAATTGTTGTAGAATAGAAATTCTTTTATTTTCTCTTATTTTTCAATTTAGATTTCTTGTATTCCAATTTGAATGTTTTTTTGGATAAATTTTTAATAAGCATGTGGATCAGAGACAGTCATATCATCAAATATTTTCCATATATGTTGAGCTTGAGTTTAATTCATAATAATTATAAATAAGAAATGGTTGATCACATATTGAAACAATATAAAACAATTACTATATGTCATCCCAATTATTCACCATTTTAGATAATGATAAATGAATACTCAACAATAAAAGAGATATGCAGATAGATTCGTTTGGCTTGGAGAATAAGTCCAAAAGAGTTGCGACTATTTAATTCAAGTGGGATAGAAATATTTTAAGAAGATTTAAGATTTTAGCCAAAGCAATGTAAATTATGGGCAACATTGAATGGGTAGGAGCTTGATTAAAATATAATATTTTAAGAATATACAATTTTGGATTAAATAGGATAAGGTGGATAGGGTGTAGTAATGTTAGGATAACATAAGGAGACAAAAGTATATGTGGCAATAAAGATAATAAAAGGAGATGGATTTAATGCAGATGAGATAGATTTATTATTTAGAGAATCTTAGATATTGAAATAATTGAGTCACAGGAATATAGTTCATTTGATTCAAAATATAATATTGAATCATGAGTGTATTTTAGTTATGGAACATTTACAGGGTGGATCTCTATTAGATTTGGTTAGAAGGAAAGGAAGATTAGATGAAATAGAGGCTAGAATTTATATAAGATAGATATTAGAGGGAATCGATTATTGTCACAAAAAGAATTTGATCCATCGTGATTTAAAATTAGAGAATATCTTACTTGTTTCTTCAAATAGTAATTAAGTAATAACACTATGCATAGATAGATAAAAATTGTAGATTTTGGAATAGCATGTAATGGTAAGGATCGAATTCGTATGGGTACATTACCATACATGTCTCCTGAATTGATATCTGGATAATCAGCATCTCAATTTTCTGATGTCTGGGCAATTGGTGTAATTTTATATGCAATGTTATTTGGAAAGTTACCATTTAGAGGTTCAACAAGAGAAGAACTTATTTAATCTATTAATGTATTCAAATATACCATTCCATAAAAAGTAAGTAATGATTTATTAGATCTCTTTAAATAAATATTTCAGTATCGTAATAGGATAACTGTTTAAGGTATCTTAAATCATAGATGGTTGAGTGAGAGTAATCCAATACCAACCTTAAGTTTGTTAAAGATGTTATAAGTTACCACTGCTCCTCCACTTAAGTTTACTGCCAAAAAATCATTGTCAAATTTATAATAAAGTTATAGAAAGATTTCTTTGCATAAAGATGAATCAAAAACTAATATTGGCAATGTAACTGCAAAACCAATCAAAATAATCTTAAAGTTAAGATCTGAAAGAGCAAAAAGCTAATTATTATTGAGTAATTGACTACA